AGAGCAGCGCCATGACAGGTATGAAAGTGAGGGATAGACTTACCGTGTTTCCAATGTCATCCGCTGTAAAAAGCTGAATAAAGCGGCTAGGTTACTTACAATTTTCCACAGCTTACATTGTCGGGAGTTTTTTGTCAACTGACATTTCTTTGAGAGATATTTTTCCAGTGTTTCATGAGCAGAACAATCCGAAAACACATTAAATAACAGTACAGCCCATTGAAGAGATATATGTCTATCCCTCACAGCCTCGCTTTCATTCTCATTAAAAATCAAAGATGGCGCTGCCGTGATTAAGGCGTATCGCCTCAGAATCTGACGCAGCCTCTCGTTCCCTTCCCAGGGAACTGGGTTATACAGTAACCCAACAAGAGGTTTTTCATACACATGGAAAATGGTGAATCAAACTGAAGCTGTTGTTATAATTCACGACTGTATAAAAGCTCAATTTGTCACCCTTGGCAATCACACACAATCACAATCTCAACACACTCACAGCAACAATCAGAGACATTATTACAGGGACTGCCTATAAGCAATGCACTTAAACATATATATATGCAAGGGCCCATTTGGAAAGCTACTTGACTGTGTAATTTCAGAAGTGAACAGCTCTCTCGGCCGTAAAGAGGCTTATCACGGTCCTCGTAAAGCTCTGCTCGCTGGAGGTGGACGTAATGTTGGCAGATGGCAGAGATCAGAGGCTATCTGTGTCAGTGACAATATAGCGACTAATGGAAATACTGCAATATCCACTAACGATACAGGCTTATAATGTGCACTGAGTGTGTGTGATATGGAAATGAAATTGCTGCCTTCCTTTGGATCTCCACTGCAGGGGTTTAGTATCGCTGGGGATTATAGGAAGGGTTCATAACGCACCCTTTCTTTTGGTTCTGGACCTGCAAGGTTACTTGGTGGCATTTTTTGAAAAATGATAATGGCTAATTTGCTGTGAAAACGTCTCAGTTTGGAACCATATAAGGATAGGGTTATTTTTAATCGTTTTAAACTTTGCTGCTTTGAGTGTGAGTCATTCGCTCGTAAGCTTCAAACATGACACTGAACCTCCGCAGAGGCAGATTTACTGCGTAACACGCTCTCAACGGCTCTCAGCATATTCCTAACACACGTAACCCACAGATCTCACCGCTTGTCTGCTGTCGGTGTTGAATTTAGAGGAAAGCCCTTGTTTTGGAAAGACTAAAAACATGCCCTTTTAAGTTAGATGAGTTTATTGTGTGGTTTCATCTAACAAACACACTAAAAAAAATATATTGTTGGTTTAACTTAAAGTAAGTAACCTGGTTGACTTAAAATTTTAAGTTGATTGAACTGGAAAAAGTGAGGAGATTGATTTAATCATCAGAAACTCAAAATAATAAGTTATCTCAACTAAATAAATTATTTAAGTAGATTTGACAAAAGACAAAAATGTTGTGATAACAAATCTTGAATATATATATATATATGAAGAGTTCAGATGCAAAAGCCTCTAAGTGCCATTTGAAATTTTCTTCTAAAATGACCATTTTTATCAAGCTTGTATATTTAAGTTCAGTAATTTCACTTAAATGGCAATAAAGATTACCTATTAATTGTTATTTAAGTGAAATTACTGAACTTAAATATACAAGCTTGATAAAAATGGTCATTTTAGAAGAAAATTTCAAATGGCACTTAGAGGCTTTTGCATCTGAACTCTTCATATATATATATATATTTTTTACAGTGCATCTAAAATGCATCTTCCACTGACTCTTATGTATTGGTGGAAAACAGGTTTAAAACTCTGAATAATCTATACATTTTAAACAGACGTATTCACTAGGTTTGGATGAAGGTAAAAGTGTATTTTAGTTTCTTTTAAAGATACATATTTGCAGTATATACAATAGAACATTTTGTTAATAAATTGTTAAGCAGAAATATATTGTTTAATGTTTGACCTTAAATATATTTGACACTTATAAGTGAAAAAATGGCTTAACTCTTATATTTTAATGTAAAATATCATATTTCTGTATGTGCTCTGACAGCACTGTAAAAAAAATATTTTCAAGATTTGTTATCACAACATTTTTCCTTTTGTCAAATCAACTTAAGTAATTTATTTAGTTGAGATAACTTATTATTTTGAGTTTCTGATGATTAAATCAATCTCCTTCATTGTATTAACTCACTTTTTCCAGTTCAATCAACTTAAAATTTTAAAGCAACCCAGGTTACTTACTTTTTTAAGTTAAACCAACAATATTTCTTTACAGTGTATTGAATCCCAACAGTGTTTTTCCCCTGCAAAATCGAAACTAGTAGGAAAATAAACGTAATTTAAATCCCCTTAAGAGCTTTTAAAGTCGCCCTGTATACAGTAGTCAATCATTTTATCCCGTAAAACTCATCTTTGATCCCCAAAATAACATATTTAACTGTTTTTTCCTTGAAAAATAAATCTTCATGCCTTAAAATATCTTGAATGTAACTCGACACCCTTGCCTCATTTAGTATGCGCGGTTCTATGAATATGCAAATGAGCTCCGCCTGGTTGACGATCACACGTTGATCTGATTGGTTACAAGGTCGTTTGTGACGTCAGAAACACCGGCGATTTCGTCTTTGATAAAATTTACACATGGTTTGTCTTAAAGCGAATTAAAAACACCACATAGACACATAAACAACATTAAAAGCTGGATTTCCACCACAGGGGGACTTTAAGCTTCTGGCAGGCGTATATATTGCCCCTAGCGGGGGAGATGGTCTTTTAATCAGTGGAAAATTTCATATTTTTTATTGAGCCTAAAAATCTTTTACTTGAATCACTAGGACATCGGGGATATAAAATATAATCGAGTGTAAAACCACCTGGAATGCCCAAACATTGGCCTCTCAGTCCATGTATTTACAGCAGAAGCGTTCACGTTAACTCACTCAGGGAATAGTTCATGGCCAGAGGAAGAAACGCTGATGTTATGCTACCATTTATGAGACGTTTCTTTGCTCCAAAATTCTTCCAAACAAAGACAAAACAGAATCAACCCTTCTTGCGTGTTGTTTCTGAATGAATCATTTTACGAATCATTTTTAAGGGACTACATCAGCCAGAAATCAGTGAAATGTTTGACAGACTACTATAATGAGTGTATATATCCCAGTGAAAACATAAATACATTTGAGAATGTTATTCATAAAAAGCCATTGATTCAGAAAATGGGATTACCGATGGTTTATCCAGGGATTTTATGGTGTCTTTGGAGCTTCTGCACACTATCATTTCTAATATTGCACAACAAAACAGATTTGGGATTACATTATTTATAACTTTAGTAGCCCGATGAACACACATCGACACAGTATTATGGCTTTTTTGAGACACCATTTAGTAGAATATACATAGCCTACTTTTCAGATGTCATGCAAAATGCCTATTTAATGTATCTTCTATTTGTCTTCATTTTTTTGTTGCAAGAATAGACCTTACACTTTGTTATAAAGTTATTATTATAATGTATGATTAATATTGTGTATAAATCAGTTTTCATCAGGCCAATCATCTGCACAATAACTCTGAAAAAATAAATATAACGATTCCTCTCTTTCATGACATGTAAAATGGATTATTTTATCTTGTGGAAGATGTTGCTTATTTAGACCATCAAACAAACAAACAAACAAAAACACTTTCTAATTTTATGAATCATCTTATTTTCTTATGTTAACATTTGGCTGATTCTGCATTCTTTGTAAACTTATGACTTTAGCGATTAGACTTGTGGTTTTTATCTGGTGAACCGAGTGCCGCAACTTTTGCATAGATGATTTTTACCTTAATAAACATGCTAAATTAATTTCAAATATATATATATATATATATATATATATATATATATATATATATATATATATATATACTTTTGCATATATATATATACTTTTGCATCGATGATTTTTACCTTAATAAACATGCTAAATTAATTTAATATATATATATATATATATATATATATATATATATATATATATATATATATATATATATATTATTTTTTTCAAATGCATAAAGTTTTGTGTGATAGGTAGGTTTAGTGTAAGGGTCAGAATATACATTTTGTACAGTATAAAAAGCATTACCATAAAGTCCCCAAACAGATAGTGTGTGTGTGAAAATAAAAATAAATCAATAACATAAACGAAGCCAAGTGTGTAAACCAAGGTGTTGTCATAAGTGAACTTGACTGACTGTTCAAGAATGCATTTAATGAAGGAGCAAATATTAAGAAAAGCAAAAAAATGTAAAACCATTTACTGAAAGATATATTTCTGAGGCCAGCATTGCATTAGCATATATTCATCAGTTGCATCGCACGGTGTGGACGCGCGCCGCTAATAAACGCTCTTCTGCCAACATAAAGCACAGCACTGAATGCGCGGCTTGTGCGAAAGGGGCGTGTCGTTTGAGTCGTGGTGTAATGAAACCCTGGAGACCGTGAGCCAATCAAATCCTCCCCCTTCCCTCGTGAGCCAATCAGAATCCTTCACGCCGGTAAGCGATACCTGCCTCTTGTATCCTCTACTCCTCCAGTGCTCTCAGAGGTTCAGTGAGAGTTGTGCTAGTCTGACTCGAGGCGTCTTGTCAAAGAGGACAACTTGCTTTAAAATAACCTGAAAACAACTCATTCTGTTTTTTTTTCTTCAGCGACGCGGCGTAACGTGACGTCAATTGTGAAGTAAACGTAGGAATCTGTCCTTTTAAAATATCCCACTACACGTTTGTTGTACCGCCTCTCAATGCGGCTGTCAGATCAACATCTGCCTCAGAACTTACGCGAATATCCGTTTAGGAACAGATGTGAAACTTTCAGTTAGTTTTGAAAGAGCCCAGCAGCCTGTTTTAATTGTTAGTTTACATAAAACGAACTTTAAGCGAAGTCACATTTCATTAAAGACAACATTTTGCGCTTTAAGTCTGTCAGTTAAACTCGCTGACGGTGTTATGAGCAGTAAAAGCCCGCGAGTATTTCACGTATTGTGTATTTCGGTTAGTTTCAGCACATCGATCCATCATAAGTGTCTTTGTGCCGGTATTTGTGCTGTTTTTCGGTGTCCTGTGGAGGAAAAGCCGATGTTTGAGCCTGAGGGACACCGCTTTATTATGTCGCTTTTTTTACAGCAGGGCTGAAGGGAAATTTAAAAGACCTAAAAATAAAGTGTCGGTTTCTACTCCACAAAGAATCATTTGAACTTCCTACCGCAGAAGGAGAAGGACATAAATAGTTCTGACATGTGGATGTAATTTCAGGAAAAAAGGCAGACAGATGCAGAGAAATAAAACGCGAGCGGGAGAGAGAGAGAGTGGGAAGAGATCTGTGACAAGGAAAAGCCGTGAGAAAATATTCATAATTTCACAAGCGAACGATGTAATGGGAGGGCAGCAGATGGACGAGAAATGACTGGCTCTTTATCGGCGCTTAAACAGATGCAAACCTCAGAGAAATCCCGTGTAATCTGACAGCAGTTTGAGTGAACCGAGGCGGGATGGGAGCCACGCTGGTCGTGCACACTTTAGGGCTCCTCTTCTGCGGCACCTTGCTGAGCTTCGTCTATGGGCTGGTGAGTTTCTTTCTTTCTTTCTTTCTTTCTTTCTTTCTTTCTTTCTTTCTTTCTTTCTTTCTTTCTTTCTTTCTAATTCTGGTAATTAAATAAATGGTAATTGTCTCCGGTCTTCTTTCGAAGCGCTCACTGATGTTTCTCACTGACTTTCTTATAGATGTACATTGACACAAGTTGAAATTATTTAAAGATTATATGGTATCTCATCATGCAGCCTCGTCTTTTAACTAATAGCCTTGTCTAATCGATGTTCTGTCTTATTTTACTGTTGATTGATGGTGTATTTGTCTTCATTCGTTATGCTTTATGTAGACTACTTACAAAAACATCAAGCTAAAGACACAGTCCACACCATATAAACCTAATTTTGCCTTCACATTGGAAAAACCTTGGTTAAGTGCCTTCATTACAGTCCTGATATGATGATGGATGCTCACTTAAAGGATGTCGTCCTTTGCAACTTCACACAGTCAGATGTGGACTGTATTAAGGCAGTCTATATGGTGAAAGCTGCAGTTTATCATAGTCATCACTGTATTTTATACCAATATTCTCGCTCCCAACGCCATCAGAAACTGAAGCATGCTCAAGTGCCACTACATTGCTTTCAATTGCTCTCATGTGTCTGATGAAGATGAGTTTTGCATCCATTTGAATTGTATACATGATTATAGATGGGCTACCTAACTTTGCCCTGACCTTCAGGGCTGGAAAACTACATAACCACTATAAGAATAAGCAAACTGTAGCTGTTGAGATGTCCTTTTTCCATCAAATCTGTGTGAATCTATCATAGGTGCTATTAATGGTCATCATTAATGAAGTCTTTCACTATTTGCAATTACCTTTTAGCATTTATAAGTCAATAAAGTATTGAAGATACAAATAAATCATGTAGAAATGAATATGAGGACTTATGCTTGTACATTCGTATATTTTTTGTTATAGATTTGATGTTAAAATGTGAAAAGTGACACTTGAAATTCCATGTACACAACTTGCATATAAACACTTTAATAATTAATGTAAAAATACGAAATTAATGCACATAAAAGTGTAAACACAAAAAGTGGGACAGAACTTAAGTATACGGATTAGTTTGGTTAATGCTCACATTTTCGCTCTGTTTGCGTCTTTATGTTGACCGTCCTTGAATTCATTACACAAATTATTCTTGAGAAAATGTGGCAAGCCTTTAGCAAAGGAATCACTGTTTCATCTCAAACAGAAATTATTACTTTGTGGCTGTTTGACATGCTTTCTGTGACGCATTCTGTGCATTTCTGACAATCTGAGCACACATTTGAGGAAAATTTGAGCTTGGATAATAATACGGTATAAAAGTGATGCTGCGTGACATGAATGCATTATGCAGATTGCCACTACATTTTTTGTTTGCGGCATCTCTGTTGATGTATTTACTGTGGCTTGGAGACTGAAGTTATTTGTCAGGTTTTTGTCATTTAGTGATTGAAATCTTTTGGCGTACTTGGCATTGCTTTTGTCTGTCTCCTTCACTGTGGTTTTTGTGTGTTTATGTACTGTGTCGATTGTATTTTGTCAATAGAGAAGAAAGAATGTTTTTCCAGCAGTAACTGTGAAATCATTTATATATATAAATATATATATCAGACATCTCATGTGACGACCGTCTGTAGGACGGCAACAGTAATTCTTTTGCAAAAACTGACAAAAAACAGTCCAAACATGGTTCATACAATATTTTTCTGTGAGAAACACAATGTTTTCAACCCTGAACATGTTCGCACTCCATCAACGCAGTCACATCTGATTCATAAGCTAAAACTGAGCATGAAACACATTTCACAGTTAAGCCTGGCGTAATGAGTCTTCAGTGTTTGAATGTGTTCGTGACTTGAGCGTGACGGCGGATGGATCATTAGTTTTAGGTCTGCTTCTCACTAACAGCAATCGTTAGGCCTCAGAAGTCTTGGGATGTTTGTAATTTTATAATAAATTGTGACTGTGTTTGTATCTGCAGTTTTGTATTAAATGGGCCTCAAAAATGTCTTACGGTTTAATGAAAATAAAATTATCGTGGGTGTTTAAATTGAAATTTAGACCCCAACACATGTTACAACGACGAAATTATACCCTAGTTCATTCCATGACGTCAATTCATTTCCCAGTGACTCGGACTCCCAAGGTTTCCCATTGAAAGCAATGGAGTTGTTGTTGGTCCAGAGAGTACCTTTAGTGTCTTAAGCGTGGCTCTCGAGATGCTTGACCGTGCTTCAGTCTTTGAATCTTTGAGAGTAAAAGATGGATTGTACCTCCTATTTTTTCCAAACACATTTTCTAAAATGGCACCATCAGTTTTTTTTATCTTCAGAGGAGCTGCAGGATCTGGTCGAGCATCAGAACTGAAAATAACGTTGGAATTGCATTAGATGCTGTAAAGTGCCTTAAAAGTACCTTTAAAAAACAGATTTTGAGTTTTGAATTGTGCTTGTTTTTTGGCTGGTTGCTATGATGTTTCTTTGTCGTTGCTAAAGTGTTATGGATGCTGCTTGGTCACTATGGTTGCTTACTATAATTATGTTCGCTATTGTTTTTTTTTATTAATATAAATATATGAAGAGTTCAGATGCAAAAGCCTCTAAGTGCCATTTGAAATTTTCTTTTAGAATGATAATTTTTATCAAGTTTGTATATTTAAGTTCAGTAATTTCACTTAAATGGCAATGATAATTACCTATTAATTGTTATTTAAGTGAAATTACTGAACTAAATATACAATTTTGATAAAAATCACCATTAAAAAAGAAAATTTCAAATGGCATTTAGAGGCTTTTGCATCTGAACTCTTCATATTCACCAGAAGCAGACTTGATGTAATTTCCTTTGAGTAAAATATACCCAAATTGTAAAGCTCAGTTGTATTTTTCTTTTGTCTTTATTTCTCTAATACAATATTTTGCTGATCTTATAATTGGTTTGGATGCTTGTTGTTCACATTATTACATACACTAACATGTGCCGTTGCAGTACATGTACACCAAAAAAGCAAACAAATCAAAGCCTTTGTGTTTATTATAAACCTTGCACCAAAGACCATGTAAACATTTTGTAAACCATGCTATGTCATATTAAAAGCTAGCAGAGCTCTGTTAGACATGTCATTAAAGTCTAAACACTGAGTTTTTATCTACAGTATTTAATATAGACCATTTCAGAAGATGTAAACAACACTGGTCCAGAAGTTTTTTTAACACTACATAAAAGCTGGGATAAAATACAACCAACAGAACATTTAAAACTGAATCAAAAAGTTAAACAAACATCTTTAAGATGTTTTCTTTACATGTGAAATAAAGAAAACAGTTACAAACTGAAACAGGAAGTGCTTCTGGACCAGTGTTGTTTACATCTTGTGAAATGCTCTATATATATATATATATTACCCATGCTAGCAAATTGAGTCACAATGAGCAAATTTTCACAAATGGGTGATTGTTATTTTCACATTCTCTATTAAAAACCTTCAGAATGATGTAAGATTTGTTGAAATCAGTCAATAGAGTCAGCAAAGTCAAATTTGAGAAAAATTTGTGTTTCAGTTTTCTGAAAATCCCCTACCAACCATACCTTAAAATCCCTGGAAATAACATTACATTTGGAAAACACTGAGTCAAAACCAAATATTTCCTATATCTATATTAGGAAAAATACATATTCACATTTTTTTACATGATACCACAATTGTTTGATAAACTGTACCACACGGATCTAATATAATGTTACACATCAGATGTTTTCCCCTAACAGTTAACCGGAGAGAATTTGATTCTGTATATGTGTGTATGTCAGGATCGCGCGCTCTTTGTACACACACGCTTCGGATTAGGACTGTGAAACGATTAATCGCGATTAATCGCATCCAAAATAAAAGTATGTGTTTACATAATATATGTGTGCGTAGGGTGTATAATTATTTTGTATATATAAATACACACACATGCATGTATGTATTTAAGAAAAAATTATTAATATATCAAATATTTATATTCATGTACAATATTAACCCTTAACTGTCACCGTCCGGGACGCCTAACTTTACTTCACTATATATCTAATTATGACAAATTATATATTTTTGGAAAGGTCTAAGACTTCTAATTAAATATTCGACTCCTGTTTTGTGTTAAAAATTATGTAGGAAGAGTAATTAATGAATTTTTTGACAAGAGTGCACCTCAAAAAATCTGCATCATAACAGGAGGTCTGACCTTTGTCACAAAAAGTTGATGCACCCACTTTTAATCATTGAAACTTCTGTTTTTATGCTAAAAGTTCATAATAAAACATATAATCTAGTATTTTTCAATAAAAAAATCATTTGAAAGCGTATAAACTCAGAATTCATCCTGTGAAAACGTTGCGTTACCATAGAAACGGTACTTATTTTATGAGGCTCCTCCCCCCAAAGTGGGTAAAAATAATTTCTTGACAGTTGAATTCTTCCGTATTGTTTGAAATCGCCTTTCAGGAGGAAAATGCAGCCTGACTAGAAAAAATTGTACGTGCAGTCGAAAACCCTAATGATGTGATTGGCTAAAAATAATCAAGGATTCCCACAGCGAGTCAATGAAAACAGCGCATTTTAGGAGACCCGCTCAGAGTGATTCGGGAAAATCCGGCACAGAGATTTGGATTGGTTATTTATTGATATGTCCACATACCTACATAATGACAATACTGACTGAATCACTTATTTAAGGCCCATTCACACCAATGACTATAACTATAAAGATCATAAAATGTTTTTAAAGGTGATTCTAATGATATTTTTCTGTGTTATTGTTATAGTTGTGGTGTGGACTGCTATTCCTTTATGTTAGTAAAGCAACATCTTTCTCATTATCAGTTTAGCTATTGTCTATGGTGTGAACGGGACTGTACTGTACATATTTTAAATGCTTTTTGCTGTTCATGATTTGCTATAATGGTAAAAAAATGGTAATTTATATAGCGCTTTC